GAGAATTTATATGATAAAATCCATTTTCCTAGCTCACCATAATTGACATCACAATATTCAAATCCTGATGATCACATCAGGCCATTGCGATGGTTACAGGGACTCGAAGCACCAGACTGGAGATAAATACAAGACTGCTTCACGGTTACTTATTAGACATTTGTGTATAGTGGCTCTGAAAAATTTGTAGCTAACTCTTTCCTTGGAAAGATGACAGTGCAACCCTTATTAGAATTGCTCGTTAAAGAAATACATATCTTAGGAATGAAACGCCAACAGAAAATGAGAAGAAACAGATGGGAAAGATGGAAATAGTTTGCCTCAACCTTTAGGCCTGTGTCAGGAATTCATTCTGCCTTTGAAAACATTTGGTTTAGTCTTCTCACTCGGATTTTCAGAGGGCTTTTATAATCCTTCAGTAGCGCACCTGTCGGTTAATCCCTTGTTATAATCTATCTTGGATCACCTCATGGGGAGAAGAGCTGACGTATACGCTCCCAGCCCTCTGCGGACTGGCAGAATGAATCGTTCTTTGGATACGGAGGAGGACGGACTGGAGGTCAGGACAGCTGTGACACGAGCTGGCACGAGACCAAGGGACCTCTCTCCCCAGATAAAGACAAAGCAGAGCAGAGGATCTGTGATACCTCCCAGCATCCTGCCTTGAGAACGTATTATATGCTTCTATTTCCTATGTACACTGCATACGTTATTATTTTTTTTTCCCTTTCCTTGCTTTCTAAGCTTGCTTTTCAGACTCTTTTAGCAACACATAATAAATTTAACCTTGCAATGTTTTGCCATGACCAGGCCAAAAGCTACAAGTAAGCATAAGTGGCCTGATTCTAAAGGAAACAATTCTTACTCCAATATAATAAAGGTGTTTAAAATGTGGTGAAACTGTGCATTTTCACTGCCTAAATCACCACAGACATTCTGCACTTTCATGGCTTTTGGTCTTTCTTTCCCTTTCTCTCTCTGTGCTTTCAAAAGAAATGCAAATATAGGTTCATTACAAAACCTAAGAGCAGCCATTATCTTTTTTCTCAGAAAGGAGAGATGATATCATTTTAGCGAAAGTCAAGCTAAGGTAAAATATACAGCTACACTGATGTAGAGACAAAAAGAAATACCAACTGGAGATTTCTCTAAGTTTTATCTCCCCCCCGCCGCTTCCTTTTTTTTTTTTTCCTCCCTTAAGTTTAAAATAACATTTAAATACTTGCTTACGTTGCCAGAGAGCAGCTTCCATTGCCAACGTAAGTATCTAGGAACAGAAGCCAAACCCCATATTACCGCAAAATAACAGTAAGAAGGTAACAAATAGGTGTGCATAGACCGTAACATCTTCAACTCCTTCCATATGTAGTCCACCTCATAATTATCTCTCAACAGAGTATCATGACAAACGTGGAAATTCCTGTCTTCTCATATCCATCTGCAGAGCCTTGTTTTAATTTTGCGGCTCGTAAGGTTTGTAGCACCATAACAGACATCCCTGTTCACTTTGCAGGCTGCAAACACCAGAATTTGTGGATAGCTTCTTAAAGACATGATAATGAGGTGCTCTTCCATAAAATTTACTGGAGCAAGTTGCTTTTTTCTCTTTTTTTCTTCTGGAAGTGCCTCAGACATAAGATGATGGTAATTATGGGGAAGTGGATGTGTAAATGGTGATTCACTGTGTATAAGGTGAAAAACTGACACACTACACAGCCTAAAATGACAATTTTTACCTTCTGGACTACAGATTTGTCTGTCAATTTATTTTTATCACTTTTAATTTTTTTTTTTTTTAAACAGATAGTAAAATTGCTTTGAAAAAGGGAAAAGAGACAAAGTGTAAGAAAATCCCTAAAAACGTAGCTGGCCTACAGGAAAGCTGTGATAAGGCTAAGATTGCACTCTTGCTCATGTTTGCGTATTACTGAGCAGCTACTGCAGACCTGTCACTTGATACCCCAGTACCTCCCCAACGATAGGGGAGTGACGCGAGTCCTCCGTACTCCTCCTGAAGCAGTTTTGTTTATGAAACTTCATGCTCTTGTTATAAAGGAAAGCATTTATTTGCAACAGAAGAGAGTGACCCAGGGATCCACGGGGATACGAGTCTTCACGACCTTTGCTTTCTTGGACTGATTATCAGTTTTATAAGCACGTTAGGGGGGACAGGGATCTCTTAGGAAAAGATAACACCTCTTTTTTTCCAAAGTGCCTGTGGGCAGACCCTTACTTGTTTTGCAGTCCTTACAAACGTTCAGCTTTCTACCTCATTTTTTAAAGATTTAATCCCTCATTTGAAGCTATCAGACTTCTAAAACAAAGATCCCTCACGAGCGAATTTGTTGCCAGTGCTCTTTAAATAGGAGCACTTTAAAATCAGAGTTTTGAGTCCTGGCACAGTGCCTTAATGGCAAATGGCCTTCTCTGGGCTTTAACTCATTCAAGCTGGAACATCCACAGTGCTATGGGTGGAGGTGGAGCGTCAGGGAAGTGTTTGGGGAGGAAAGGCAGACCTTTCCTCTATCCAACACCCTCTCATGAAAAGCAATCTGCCCTTAGCCAAAACCTCAGTGAGAGGCTTGCTTGCTTGTTTCTTCCCAGTTTCCTTTTTATAGGAGAAAAGGAGTGCTCTGCAGTGATGCAAACAGGAAAGGATTGCTCTCCAGAGAAGTGTGACTACTCTCTCCTAATAAGAATAGAAAAGGCAAGCAATCTAAGCATTTATAAGAATTTGGAGCAGAACACAATCCAGATTCTTCAGCTGGATACACTCAGTTGATCTCTTGCAAATTTGTCCCCTTCCATTTGGAGGTGAAACTCAGTTCTCAGCCAAGGGTTTCTGAAAGCACAGCATTTGTTCGTATGGATCTGAGGTGAGAAATCGAGGCTGTATGTGCCTTCAATAACATTTTATTGGGATAGTCCACTGTTAACTGCACAACACAAAGCAATACTAATCAGCTAGGCCACCAGGAATGAAGTGGATCCACTTGCTTGTCTAGACACTGACTTTATCTAAAAGAATGCGCATGTACGGAGGGGAAAAAACAAAACCAGAAAGATGAAAGCATAGCTTTGCAGGTTTTGGGTGTACTTTGCACCTCAAACACATCACGCAGCGTAATTTTAGCATGGCAACTGCTATCAAACATTCTTGAAAACATTGGCACCTGAAGCTTGATGCAGGGTTGCCTGTTTAATTACTACTCTCAGGCAGTATGTCAGAGTCTGGAAAGGAGGTATTTTTTTCACTAAGGAATAGAAAGTATTTATTAAAATGTAAACAGCAAAATCAATTTGAGATTGCATTCCCAAAACAAACAAAAAAGCAGCCTCAGAAAACCAGAGTATTTTAGCAGAAATGTGTCTTGATTCCTTTCCAAAGGTGAAAACAGCAAACAATTACAGAAAAAGCATCTGCCACACTATGCAATGTTTCAGTAATGCCACAGCTTTCCAGTTAAAATCAATGCTAACTTCAAGAAAAGCATCCGTTACCTCAGGAAAAGACAACTCAAGATTCCTACCAGAGATCCTTTGCAACTTTTACTGACTTCAGGGAACCATATTCCTCACCTGCTGAGACCCTTTCTATTAACTAGGCCAATTCTAAAATAAAATGAACTATTATTATTTGTACATTCTACTTGCTAGTAATTTCCACATATTTACACCATGTCCTGTCTGTTTTGGTAAACTAATAACAAAAGTGTGTCTATGTTAAAGATGAAGATTTAAGCTAAAGAGTCAAGAACTAAAATGCAGAGCTCCCCTGAAAGTTCAAGCGGGGGACCTGAACTGAGGACCGAAACAGAGCTTTATCTGAAACCAGATTCATATTCAGTGGCTTCTACTGTTTGTGGAAATGGCATCTGCATGTTCTTCTGCGATAGTGAAAGTGCAGTTCGAGCAGAAAAGGATACAGCACCCAAAGTCATTTAGATTCTACCTTCTGAAGCCTAATTCAGATTTACAATCGTCAAACAATCAATTTTAAATAAGAGGTCCTTGAAAAAGAAGAAACAACCCTAAATATTCCTGTCACTTTTTTCCCCTGCATCTGCAGTATCTGATTAGTCAAAACTCAAATTAATTTATCCAAAAACTACTATATATTATTTTCAGGCAGCAGCAGCTATATCATACTACAGTGGTACATGATGACTGCATTATTTTATTTATTGCTGCTTGGCATGTTTCTCTAAAACCCTTGAATTGTACAAGTAATCCAACCTACTATCATTTGCATGCATTTACTGAACCTAAATGAAGGAAAAATAAGCCTGTGTTGTTTTTAAATGAAAGAATATTTTCATCCCTTTGTAAATTAGCATGCCCTCTCAAATTTCTCCATGTTTTTTTCCACATAGCTTGTCTTTTTCCTCCTTCAAATATCATACCCACGTCTTCCATGGTGTCAACCAAAAAGCAGCTGACTGTTAGTGATGGATTGCCTTAAGATTACAACAAAGCAAGTGACGAACTTTTATAATAACCCTTTCTCTCCAGTTCTTCAGGCAGTATTAATTTGCATGTAAATTAATAAACTAAAAATGTGGAAGCACAACTCAAGGGAGCTAAGACAGTTTCACGTTATTCTAGCAAGTTTGCTTGAGGAAAACATACCTTTTCCCCAGTCTTGGGCATTGAGGAGTCTTGCTTGCTTGCCTTCTGGATCGAAGATGTTGCCAAAACCCTATTTTTTCCCCTGTTGAAGCCACAGCAGTGTGTTTAAGAGTTACTGGAGCTGCAGAAGTGTAATCACTGTTGTGGGCCTCGGCTCACAGGCTAAGGGCTGTGCTAAGGGCTGCACAACAGTATCCCACTTAGCACACAGTCACAGTCAAAGGCTTTGGGTCTCTGTTATTTAACGCAGTATAAATAGATTCGCAAGCCAAAATGACTGACAAGACATCTGATAAGTAATATCGCTGTTTAAAATAGTAATAATAGGAAAAACTGAGTGAGCAATAAGCAACATCTAAGGTCTTACTTACCATAAATTCCTGTTGAAATACAGGGAAATGCCTGTAAAACAAACGAAAAAAAAAATTAGTGGGATTTCTGTTTGGCAAACTTTTTATCAAAACCAAAGGTATTTTTAAATGCCTGTTTTTCAACACCCAGAGATTACATGTTGTAGCCTTTGCTGTTACAGCAGTCAATTCACAGGCATTTTCATGTCATTATATGAAACATATTCCATATGTTTTCCTTGCTGCCATGTTAATAAAGCGGCATTCTTTTTCTCGTCTTGAGCTATGAGCAATATTTGAACCCAGAATCATTATTAAAACCGCCTTTTGAGCTAAAAATTAATGCCATGAGCTAAAAATTTAACGCCATAAGCTAGTATGGTAGGAAAAAAAAAAAGTCTCATTCTCTGGGTAGAGTTAGAAAATGTTTCTTCAGTATTAAAATAAGCCTGGCCAGCTTAAACCCTGCCCTGCCCTCCCCTGCCTCTTTGCCATGCCCTCGTTCACTATAACCTCCTTTTTCGTTTCAGAGCCTTTCGTTTTTAACCACAGTCCTTTCAGACACGTGGTTTATGGTGTGACCCAACGCGGCTGTACTGGTACAAGTCAAAGGCTTGCAAACTGGTGCAGGGAGAGGAACTAGAAGGTGCTGGGTGAAAAGAAAGGGTACATTTTTGGGTCAGCTTGGACACCAAAGAAAATGCATTACGCGACAAAAGATGGTTATATACACTCTGCCAGCAAGAACGACAATTTACATTTCTCCTAGCTGTACGTGTTGTCTAGAGACTTGCGTTTCTGTGAGCCAGAGTCAGTTTTCCACCAGGAGAAACCAAAGCTGTACATGGTTTCACAAGAAAGACAATTTTCTTTGTGTGCAGTTGATATGTGAGATCACCTTTGCCTCTCACCTCTGGACTGACAGCTCAAAGGTACGAGAGCACCTGGGACCAAAGTCTCAAATATCCACCCTCAGGCTCCCTCCAGGTCCCCTGGCGATGAGTCATCATACAAAAGAAAGGAATTCTTCTTTACTTAATCACACAGGAAAACATTATTCAAAGCTAAAGCTTGCTTTATATTTAACCAGGGAATTAATTAGGGAATGGTGATTAAGAAAGGAGAGGTCTAATGGAAAGAATACATCCTCCCCTCCCCTCTGAAAATACTTAAGTAAAATAAAGTAGGGGAGAATTATAGGCTCATTCCTTCTCACAACCACTACAACTTACATCCTGAAAAATACTTAGCTTTGTAGTTTGTACCCAATAAATCACAATGAATCAGCTCTTTAAGGAAATGAGGAATGGAGTAGAAAAAACACACGGGGTTACAGAGCTCAGGCTGAGGTGGCAACAGATGCTCCAGCAATAAGAGAGGCATAAAGGATGATTTTGTCCAGTTTAGCAACAGATTTTTAAAGTTCACTACTGTTGAAATTCCACTTGTTAAGAGATAATTGCTCCCAACAAACCTTTTGTTTTCAATTTTTTTCCACAAGTCAAGTAACAGCACGTGCTTTAGATACTCTTATCGGCCACAGGGAACAAGTAACAGAGCATTCGGGTTCCTTCTTTTAGTGGCCCCACAACTCCGGGCAAGGGGAAACAATCCTCCAGCACCACCAATGACTTCAGATCCCCGCACAGGTGGCAAAGCCACCCACCCGGGGAACCGCAGGCTGGGGAGGTTCTGCGGCCGCCAAGCACCGAAAGGAGCACCGTGCGCCGGCTCCCCCTTAGCTGCAGATTTATCACCTGCGCAAGGTAAAGGGAATCTGGCTGATACAGCGTCCAAACGAGATGCATCTACTTAAAGCCCTGATGGTGATCTTGAAGGGATTTACAAGGCTGGCCACTGCGCTATGGGACAGGCTCAGCACACACCATCAAGATCTCATACCGCAGCTGTGCTTACTGGGGCCACTGGAGTCAAGTGCATGAAGGGAAGCCTGCAGGCTCCAGGGGACTGGGCTTCCTTTTCGGCTTTGCTCAGAGAAGGGAAGATTAGACAACTGCATTTTCAGCATTGCATAGCAGACGCTTGTCGCATTTGTTCATCTTCATTCACAGAACACACTGCTCCGAGGCTATTTAGCAAGCTTTAGCCAGCAATTTGTGCATTGTGCCTGTTTCTTAATACCTACTTTAAAATTAGACATGTCATAATCATTACCTTGCTTTCAGTTTCTGTCACGCACCTGAAACATATCTGAATGGAGCTACAAGAGTGTGTAAAATCCCATCAAGCTCCTTCCGAATACCAGTCTGTGCCATAACTTAGATGAGCTCTGCCCTCTCCCTCATTCAGAGATGATCACGGCATATAACAAGCAGATGTAATTTCGTAAAATGCGACAATGCTTTTATTCATTCAAGAAAGGCCCGTGCCCGAGATCACATATCAGCTTGAGTTTCCTCTTGGCTCCTAGGGAGACAATTTAGTCTAGATGCCAGGTTGAAATTACTGGCAGAGCAGTAATGGGGACCTCACAGCATGGATATCAACATAGTACAATATTTGACTTATGGACAAAAGACGTTAAGGTTTCTAACCTTTTCTGTGCATAATAATATCTTAATTATAGATTTGATTTCAATAAAAGATTCAATTTCACAGTAGGAAACATTCATTCCTGTTTCCACAATAGGATGTTTCTCATCTTAATTTGTTGCTGGTAACTGCTATTTATTGACTAACCTTTAATTTCTTTGCTACTGAAATAGCATGTTTGCTTTACTTCAGGGCTAATAAGAAATGCTACCCTGACAGCACTCAAAACAGATACAACTCTGGAGTAAAACACAAGTAATAACGGCGAGAGCTTCCTACTACACTGCTGCCGTCATCTAGAGAAAAAGGCCAAACTAAACCAGCTGCGTGAATACTGTAAGACTGAAATTGATTTCATTCCTGTAGGAGAGGATCTGGGCACTCAGCCTCTGGTACTTTTTAATCTAATGTTTCTTTACTAAGGGTACAGCAGCAGTGCTAATTAGGATGAAATGTAATGCAGTTTCATGAGGAAAATTTACAATAGTCACCATGCAGAGGCCAAGTTGGACTCTAAGACATTTCAATAGCAGGGACCTGAGTATTTAAATACTTAAGGGCTTGTCTACAACAAGGGGTTCTCGTTCACACTGAGCTGCAATGTATTAACTGTTATACATTAGATGAATACAATTGCTATGTCTACATGACCAGATGCCTCCCACTGCAATCCTAATAATTGCTTCCACAGAGCAAGGACTTTCTTCAAATTAAGTGCTCGGCATT